TCCGCTGTCGGGCCAACCCTTTTTAGTGTGTGTATTGAGGACACCCTGCATGATATATCAGGAACGTGTGTTGCACCTAACGTGTGTGTGATCAATATATCATGTCATTGCGTGAACCTGTACTCTGGCCTTAACTGTACATCGTGTGACAAATACCACTGTGTGAGCTGATGATACTGCTCAGAGGATCAATCTAGAGGATGAACTTAGTGGACCCATAAAAGATCCCTCAGAGATGCCAACTTGTACAATCTAAGCATGAGTTTTATGATTTGTTTTGTCCATTTACGACTGTACGATCCAGGATTAGATTATTACAATTTCCAATTCCAAGGTACAAAACTACATAGTTGTGTATAGCTATGCACCGGAAGCCAGCCTCTCGTAATGGGCACATCAGAAATGTGAAGCACCTAGTCTCACCAATGAATGCTACGATGAACTTGGGGAAATATATAAAGCACTTCATTGCCAACGTGATTGTGTACGTTCATGCACTGTACTGTACATGTACATCAACATTGTCACACACATTGAGTCATCCTGAATATCACAGTTGTGCGAAGTTGATTGGGGGAAGACTATCAAGGACTTGATTCTGGGATTTTATGGCAAGCAACTGGACTTTGTTTTGCACAGTGGCAACAAGTCAGCAGAAGTTTAGGGACAAACAAACCAAAAATATGGGTCTTTGTTGCAAGGTCTCATTGTGGAGAAGCTTAGCCTACGTGTTTTGCAGCACATATAACTGTGACATGATAATTCTAAATTTTGCCCATGTTGGATCTCAGAACATGCAGAAGCACATAAAGATGGGAAAAAAAACACATAACTCAAGTTGGGCCAAGAAGACTCTTCTTACGATTACATGCCTCTTAAAAATAGGGTTGGTAGGTTGGGGAATTTTTGGGAGGTCAGCTACCAAAAATTGTCACAAAAGTGATTTAATATTTACCTTTATCAATGTAAGAAAATACTATCGACAGACCTCCCAACCCTCCCAATTTTGGCAGGAAATTTCTTCTTTTTCACTTTGTTTCTGCAATTTTTCTAAAATTTCTGCCAAATCACAATTTTGACATGCCTATCATTTACCAGAAAATTTGTACGTAATCTTGTGCGTGTACTGTACTACAACGCCCCACATCCCTGGCTGCGCCATCTTTTGACATGTCCTTGCCATGAGTTGGACATAATCACATGATTAAATGCCTGCTCTTAACAAGCTGCATTGTAACTGTTAAACACTATGCATTGGAACCACAGCTAAGAACGTTTGGATCCAAGAGCACTGTTTTGAAATTGTCCACGATCATGTCAAGTATGCAAGCACCATGCTGGGAATTTTGCTCAGAATTCATGCTGAATTTTGCAGTGAATCAACACATTTAGGAAATGAAAAATTATTGCGGACCATTTCAGTTTATGTAAACTCTTGTGGAAATCAAAATTTTATGGAATCTGTGAGCACATGCGATACTTTACATCATCATGGACTTGAACTTGTACAATGCAGCATTAATTTTCCGTCTTCATGGTAGTACGGAGAATATTCCGCTTTTTCATGAAAAATTCTTTGTCACTACAGATCTCTTCCTACCCAGTCACTACATATGCAAATTTCCCATGTGCCTATTATTTATTTACAGAAAAGATTTGATCATCCATGGTGCACCCTGACCTCCCACGATGCAGTGCGGCCTCACCGCCATGATCGTCCTTCTTTTCTCAGCACCGTAGCTTGATCTTGACCGGAAACATGCCCTCCCCTGGGTGCTGCGCATTGCTCGGAATGAGAAACTGCCCTGTCCCCGACTGGGCAACCAGCATTGTCTTCCGAGGGGAACAAAGTTGATGCCATCAGCGCCCTCACTCTGATTGTTGCCTCTGTCTTTTTCAGTGAGATATGATATAGGTTCTTGGCCTGCCGTCAGCCACTTTGCCTGAGGAGAACATGAATCACGGCTTGTTTAAATGACATGGCTTGACTGGCATCTTTCGGGCCAATTTTTCCATAACTCCTGCTTGAACGTTTGTGCATAGAGATATTCTAGTCTCCAGCCAGAACTTGACACGTGTTCGAGTCCGTTCCAGCCTGATGGTCCTCCCCTTAACCACCCGTGAATCTATGGGTCACCTTGGAGCTTGACTATAGCATGGCCTTACTTCAGTCCAAGCGAGGTGACTGTGTCTTTGGTTGAAGATGACACCGATTTTATCAGCGTCTTCACCGCCTTTGACATGTTCCAGATTCTGGATCCTTCAGTCTTCCTTCCGGAGGAAGACACCGACCATGCCCATGGCAGTCAACCGACTGCCCCACGTCTTCAGATACTGGGGCAGCTCTTGGTGCCATCAGTAGGCCCGCCCAGGCCACTTGAAAGTGAGTCTATGCCTTACCTGGTGATCTCTGATGACCGCCAGAGGTCTAAATCTACCGGAAATCGAGACTACGTCATTGGGCACCCAGAGAGGAATGAGCAAATAGTGTTTTTCCAGGCAGTCTTCCTATCTTTTTCAGTTCTGTCCTGGTGAATTCACCATCATGATGCAGACCTACTGCTATGTCTTTTCAGTCTGCATTCCCAGGCATCTGAACCTAACTATCTTCAATTCTTTTGGATTTTTCCGTACCCTTGGCACCCCGTAATGCAGAGTTTTCCCCAAGGGGCCCTGCAGGAGAAATTTTGTGAATCTATTTCCACTGCAGCTCACCACATACAGCCCTGTGTTCCGCAGAATGACCATTCTGTGGCCCCCATTTCGTGGCTCCACATGACCACAGATTCTGCTGTGCAACCCGGCCATACTGCACACTGTCCAAGAGTGTGTTCACTTCGAAGTGGGCATGTCCAAAATATTTTTACTGTGACTGTTATGAGGTCCATCAAAAGTAGGCCTGCTGTGAGTAGACCATTTCGTTGGGAGGGGGAGCGGGTTAGCGTAGTGGTTCTTTCCTCGCTTTGCACCAGTGAGGCCCGGGTTCGAGTCCCGGTTTGGCCCAGGCTTTAAGTGCATTTGGTTTCCACTCCATACCCACTCTCGCAGATTTTCTCCGGGTACTCTGGTTTCCTCCTACCTCAAAAACTGGACCTTCTTCCTAACTCCATAATGTGATGTTGATTAATAAAGTGTATGAAGAAATGTACAGTTATTGGCGCAAATAGTCTGAGTTGCTGAAAGCGCCATTAAACCAACAACAACATTTTGTTGGGATAGTGTCCTGGGCTTTCTCTTCCGATAACGTCGAGTATGATCAAAATGAAGAGTGGGTATCCTTTTCGTTTCTGAAATGAATACTTTTAGTTGTTTATTCTCAACACGATTTCAATATCGAAGTGCTTTTTCATTCGTGGAGATCCTTCCCTTGAGTGGAAATTACTAATAATTATTTTTTATGCATGCTTGAAATTGATCAGTCTTCCATAACAGTAAGAGCACCGACCACCATGCCAGGTATGGGACACGGCTTACCTTCAATTCGACATGAACATCTTCAGCACCCTTCTGCATATTCAGGTGTTATACACTGCTGCTAAAGACAACTTATGCATCTGACTTACCAAGCCTTCCATCAGGAACTCCTTGCTCGTTAAAGACTGACACCAACTTTATCTAGGTTTCATGAAGTCTTTGTCTCAGACTCTGGCCTATTTCATTACTTTCCCTCTTATCACTACAGTTACACTAGGGGCTCTGGATTATAATGTCACATCAGTCTTTGAGTAAGTCTTGCGGCTTTCTTGCCTCCTCTTTCGCATCACCAACTAAAGCCATGTGAACGGAAAGGACATAGGATTATGCAGTTGACCTGCAGACGATCCACATGGCAGGGTCTGACAACGTAGTGGGGGATACACTCTCCCTGGGATGGGAGCGGCCTTACATGTACGTCGATCTGTTTGCTATTTCAAACAACACCCAACTTCTAAAGATCTTCCTGTTTACTGGGACTTTATAGCAATGCAATGTCATCTGCCCACCTTTCAAATTTGTGACAGCAGATTTTAGCATTTTGTTGTGCTTTGATAGTCAGGCTTTGACTTCAGCTAATGCTCCTATGAGTGCTATAACAGACTTCCCTATGTTCTTCTTTCATTCGGAGCTACAAGTCTCTACAGCTCATACATGTATCTACAGATCAGACCTAGCTGCCATACATATTGGTTTCAAAGAAGTATAACCCATGGTTCACATTTCAAAATAGCAGGAACCAAATTTCGTATTGATTTAATTCCCTTTTGAAAAAAACTCTTGACCTCACACAGTTCAGGATTTACGCACAAAAGAGGTTTTGCTTTATTGGAGGGAATAGACAAGACAATCATCAGAAATATGAAGTGAATCCAGAGAACACCAATTCCATATAGTGCCTACCGTTCCGATTAAATCAGAATTGTCCTAATTTTTAAGTTTACAGACCGCAAAAACACGATTTCCAACAAAATAAAAAAACAAAATAATAAAAAACATAAAGAGTCATGGCAAAAGAGGGCGCTAATGTACAGGAGAAAAAGAGGGCGCCATTGGCTTTTTTTTCATCGGTTGCCATTTTGTGTAGCGACAGTCGCATCTAACGTGACTTTCCTTTGCGTGCGTGTAGTCGTGATCAGGCATGTCAGGTGGTGTAATATGGCATTAAATGTCATGAAACACTCTGAAGGATTTTTTTCACTAGTAGAAGTAACACCCAGGCTCAAAGTACAGTAGTGAGTACATGTGTATTGCATTATGCCTGACCAAGTTACACAGAGCCAGCTGCAGAATTTGATAGGCTAAAGTGAGTGTACAATGTACATGTACTGTTGGCTCATTTTATTTGAAATAGTGCTTCAGTTAATTACACTGTCTCACTTCTAAAAATGTGTGTTTCCATATTATAGTTTATTAAATGTACACAAACATTTACCTTAATACAAACTGCTAATGTACATGTATGCATGTAAAATATTGTTGAACTGGGCTTCTCATACATTTATCCAACCTTTTTTTTTTGACAGCTGCAGATAAATTGATCAAAATATGGGGTGCATATGATGGAAAATTTGAGAAGACTGTTTCTGGCCACAAACTGGTAAGAATCTGTATCCCCTAAATTCTTTATATTACTATTTGTTTTATATTCATACACTTCATTTTTACCTCAACCTCATATTTTGCAACACTCCGGGACACTACCAAAGAGTGCTATTTGCTTTAAAAAAAGCTGGCTATAAGGCCCCCCCAATAGTCTCCGGTTTCTGGTCAGCAACTGGCTCCAAAAGTGGTGCGATGACGTGGCTTTTTTCTCGTTGCTCTTTTTTTCTGAAAATGATATGCGTATAACGCACAACGTCCATTGCAACTTCTTGCACACGTAACACCAGCTGCTACCAACACTACAAGAGACTGGCCCCTGCAGTTTTTAACTATTTAAAAGCATTTTCAGCTTGAACATGTACACAGGACATAAGAGCACCTCGTTTGTCTGGTTCCCAGATGTAAATGTATAATACAGAAATGACATCATCTGAAAAAGAGTGCCCGAGTTAATTTCTAGAGAACTAGGGGGACTCCGTTACTGTTCATACTACTCAAACATACCCCATCAAAACCATGTTAAAATTACGCAGTACCAGGATTACAGTCAATAAAACAAGTTTGGCAGCTTTTGGATATCGTTTTATACCAAATAAAAACTACTTTATTTTGCCAACACATAGGTCTATGGCGACGCATGCGCTGACCAGAAACTGGAAGCGGGGGGGGGAGGGGCAAAAGTGCTGTTAAGTTTAACACACAAGACAACTCTACTGACTTTTCAATCTTGGTGTGTGTGTGTTTGCACATATACTGTACATAGGGAATAAATGTGTGATGACAGAAGTTTGATCTGGTGTTACAATGTGCCGAGCTAAAGGCTATTCAAATATTGCTAAACGCTTCTTCTTTATATATTCACACTAATGGGTACAAAAGTGTGACATAGGATTGGGAAATAAATCAGGATAATAATGTCAAGCTATTTGTCCTATTTTCTCCTTGTACCAACACACTTCCACGTCATTGTTATGGATTGTTGCATTTCCGATAAAATATGCCCCAAATAAGTTCGCATGACCATTCTCGTGTCTCAAGAGTCCAACTAATCGCCCAACACTGAATTATTCATATTGTCACGGGTCAGGACAGGGTAGTGCAGTTTTGCACTTCGTTGTGGTGAGTCCGCCAGTGTTTTATGACTGGATGCTCCAAGGGAAACAGACAACAGACCAGAAATAATCAATCATCAATCACACTAGTATTCAGTTTTAACTTCACTGTAATATTTGTTAACTTATCTCCAGATCACAAAAAAAAGATGACAAAGTTACCCCAATAAGGTTCCAATACAAAAGACAATTCCCCAAAGATAGGTTTCTCTAATAAATTCCCCGGACTTAGTAAATTCCTAATCTAAATTCCCCGGACGCCAGTCGGGATCGCCCTCGCTCTACACAGTGGCTGCGTACACAAGAAAAAGCACAACATGACATGAGCATGCAGTACGGTACACATATGGTCGCACATGTTACGTACGGTCGATCACATGTGATGAACACACATGTGATCGCTGGAATTGTTGACAGGATTTTTGGGTACAAAATATCTCATTTAGGAGACGTCCAATTGGCTGGACAGTCAACCAGCAATCATAGGGAGGGTGAATGCACTCTCCCAACCTCAAGATTACAACAACAGTGGCATATGTGAGAAACAAAAAGCAGAAAAATAGGCCCAATTAAAAACGCTTGTCTCACCATTCGGTGTCAGCCAGAAAAGGAGCGAGCGTTCGTCCGGCGTACGTGGAAGACACATTTCCCCATAATATTCATACGCTAGAACAATACCAAAAATGTTGCAAAATGAAGACGCGCAAGTTTAGACCCAATATTAATTATTGAAAATTTTTGTAGGTTAATTACCTTTACATTGGCACGTAAATGATAGATTCCAACGAGACTTTATTACAATATGATTGGACTAAATTGCTTAAGGGCGACAGGCCCTTGGGCGGTAATTCGCTTTCCAGAAGTTTCCAGAAGACAACACTACGGTGTCCCTGAAAAGGCTACCGACCCTCACAATATTGCTGCAAAAAGATCTAGCGTGCCCACCAGTGAGACTGTGCATTTTCATGACGTACATTTGGCAAGACACAGCTATCCAATCGCAGTACTTGTTCATGACATTATGCTTCCTCAGCGACCATCTCGCGCGCGGGCGGCCGTGCCGCAGTGGACGAGTGATCTCGGACTACCAATAAATCGTGTCATGCAGCTTGTGTCAAAAATCAAAAGAGAGGAAAAAATTAAACAAAAAAAGTCTCTCCGTGACACAATTTGTGTTAGAAAGACTACTTACATGGATGGGGGCTTTAGTTGATGAGCCTTCACATTCTTGCAGGTACATCCAGGCCTACATGTGCATGCAGGTTAGTTACTGTTGGCTTCGTCGTCATCCATGGCGATGGAAAGTCTTTTAAAAATCCCTGGATCGATCCTTTCACATGTATTTGCTTTTTTGAATTTCACATGCACATTAAACATGTTGTCCTATGACAGTGAAGTTTATTATTCTAAACACATCACAAGGTATTTGATTAATCATAACCGAGAGATCTTTTTGATCAACCACGTTATCCTAATTTTATTCCAGAAAAACTGAAATACAAGCTGTGACAAGTGAGGAATCGGGTTTTTGCTTCTCTTTTCTTATGGTTGGAACGAATGTGAGAATAAAAAAGATCGTTGATTGCTGTGGATGTTGAACAGATGCAGATTTATGGAATCATTGTATAGTTTATAACACACATTCCTGGCCTTGGTTAGATAGATTTTCACACAATACTTGTACATGTTGTATATAAAGGACAAAAAAGACCCTAAGAGAGCACAAGGCTAGCACAAGCAGCATTCGCATTTTCTGATCCGCCAATAAAAATATTCGGAAAATAAAGTCGAGTGCGGACACGGAAGACCAGCTGATTTTTAATTCCCAACGTGTAGGGCTGTGATACATGTACGTGTGTACATGTTCCAATGAGTAATACAAAAAGCACTGCCTAAAAGCTATTCCAAAACCACAAACTTGACGGCGGCGATAGGGAAACAAAACCTTTTGACAGGCAGGTTGATGGCTGCGTGCTGAAGTACCACGTTACGTCTTATCTCTTCACCAAAAGACACAATACAAACGTGATGCTGGATGACTGAAACCACAAAGTATGCAGTCAATGTTGTGGATATAATTGTCTGCTTTCATCTTATGAGGGTTGTGGGAACATTCTGAAAAAATTAGCCAGAATACCGCGGTATTGAAATTCAATACCGAATTAGTCGGTATTCCGGTATTCATGGATTGTTAGTCGGTATTGCTCGGTATTAAAAACAAAACTGCAGTATTCCGTAATACCAAAATACCGCCCAAGCCAAACCCTTAGTTGATGGGATCAAATCTAGCACTGTTAGTGATAGAGTCAAGCTTCCCAACCTTACGTTCTTCCCTAGACGAGAGACCACACAGAGCGACCTCAAGGCTAAGGGTGCGGGTCCGTTTTGGAGGAATATACTGCCAATTGTGACTTAGTGCAGTGTGAAATTACATGTACGGTTGGACATCAGACATTTTTTGAGCACTTATTGTGTCTGTCAGAAAAAAATTAAAGACGCTCAGGTAAATTGTCCGACCAACATAGCAATAACAGCTCTTAAAATATCAACCCAATATGTGGGATTATGGCGTCCAATTTATTATTAGTTTTATGTTAGAATTACTTTGATCACGCCTAAGGCATTCATCATGGCTGATCGCTCATCACTGGCCCATGCCACCCTGCGCCACGCGTGTATGAACACACATATGCACAGACATGAAATTGCCCCATAATTCTTTGTGCATCATAAAACGTAGGTCATGCTGTCAACCAATGTTCAATTTTCCGTGGTAACCATGGATGACATATTGCCTGGGTACCAGACAATATGGACCAGTAGTGGTTGGCTGCATTCACACTGTTCCTCCACCTGAGTGTGGTGTATTTCTGTATGTGCAATGAGAGTATACCCTCGTTGACCTGCGAGTCTTACTCCTGCAGAACACACGTAGTTTGCTTGAACACAGCCCTCGGTCATGGCAGATCAGAAGCTGGAAATGGCAGAACAAAACTGATTGTGTGATGACATTTTCTCCAAGCACTTTTTGGTCTAATTTCATGCTCTGTGAGTGTTAATTAGCCTTTTACACAATGAACCTGTAAAGAAAGAAATCCTTGACAAGAGAACTGTTGGTACAGGAAATATGTACAATTTATTCAGCAATAATCAATAAATGCAATGTACAGTAAAGTGATTAGAAGGGTTGTTTTGTTACCTGGGTCTTTTACTTCAATTGGAGTAAGGGCTAAACTAACCTAGGGTCACAGCAGCAACACACAAATGTATCAACAATGCACCATTCCACAGAATTTAGGACTTGTTTTCACTTAGGTTTTCTGACAACATCACTTTCTGTGGTCACGAAAGAGTCCACGGTTTATACTGGGATTTTAAATCTTAACTTTTTGCATGCTGTGGCTTATACACCACACAGCTTTTATTCCAAAGTCTACGATGCTCTACCTACCCAAACAGTCACTACATATGGAAATTTTCCAGGTGCCTATTATTTATTCACTGAAAAGATTTGATCACCCATGGTGCACCCTGACCTCCCACAATGCAGTGCGGCATCTTCGATTATTGAGCTTCCATTTTCGCTACACGGTTCTGTGTCGATTTGATCACCTTTCCTTCCTTTGTAAATAAAGTATTACCTTGATTTAATCCAGTTATTGGTAAGAGTGTTCTTTTCGTGTATATTTTGTGTTCTTTTCTTCAGTTTTCTTGTATGTGCACCCTGCAGGTGTTTACCTTTGGTACTATGAGGTTCATTCCAGCTACGCCTGTGTCTACCCTACCAATAAATTAAAGGCCTTAGCAAGGCCTTGAATTCAGGGGGTCGCTGTCAGGATCTGTCATACTCCCCTGTCTTCTCCAGCTACCAGGACAAGGAAAA